GAATATAACAAATATAGTAATATTATATAATAATTAACATAATTATATTATTTATATATAATAATATAATTCATGTCTATTTCTCCCACTAGACTGTAATCTCCAAGGTCAGGATAATGTTCACTGCAGTGTTCACATCTAGCCACATGCCTGGCATATTAATCAGTATAAAATCAGAAAGATCCGTGGCAAATAATTTTATTATCCAACTGCTATGTTGTAGCCAGAAGTTTCTCTGGTCCTGCTGGGCCCACTGTCCGGATGAATCTCTCCCATCTGCATCCTGTAGCTGCTTGGTCCCAAGTAAACACACAGAGGCTTATATTATTTACAAACTGTATGGCCAGGCTTCTTGCTACCTAGGTCCTGTAACCTAACTCAACTCATTTCTATTAATCCGTATGTTGCCCTGTGGTTGTGGTGTTACTGGTCTGCTGACATCTTTTTGCTCCTTTGGTGGTGGCTGGCATCTGTCTCCCCTCAGTCTCCTTTCTTCTCTCATCTCTGCAGTTTGAATGTCCTGCCTAACCTTGTTCTGCCTTGCCATTGGCCCAACAGCTTTATTTATCAACCAATCAGAGCAACACATATTCACAGCTTACAGAAAGCCGTCCCAGAGCACCATGTAAGTTAATTGATTAGGGCATTTGAGTGTAGTCAAATGGAGGTGCGCCATGGCAATGTCTGAAGCATGCTTTGCATAGAAGGTTGTTGTACATGGCCTTGTTACTTGAAATGCAGGAACAGCAACAGTTAGAGATGCAGTTTCTTGGCCCTCTTGCCTCTTCCTGTGCATGTACGAGAAATTTATAGCATGTTCTTTGTGCCATGAAATGTTTGAGATCAGGGACTAAAGCCCCAGATTCTTTGATTGGCCAAGCAAATCTGGAGAGAGAGAGAGAGAGAGAGAGAGAGAGAGAGAGAGAGAGAGAGAGAGAGAGAGAGGGATCTTTAGCAACCTCTAACAGGGGCAGGCTGCTTTGCAGACCCAGAAGGTATAAAACTCATGGCTAGATCTTTTAACAGTTCAAGAGAAACTAGAAATAAGAAGTTTATGGAGAATCTCTGGAGTTCAACGCTGAGAAATGGAGTCTCCTTTGAGGCAAAGGAATTGTTAGAGTCCTGGTAACTCACCTGTCAATCTACCTGCAGCGTTCTAAGTGTGAGGTCTTGTGAGACATCCGAGGATGCAGTGAACAAATCCTAAGTAAAATTTGGAATTCTTTAGCTTTGAAAATAAGAAATTTTTCTCTCCACAATGTGCTTTATTTTTTATTTGATTTATTTTTTCCATATCAACTTGTTCTCTGTGCTGGGTGAGTTGTCTGCCAGGCACAAACAACTTAAAGATGAATGTCACATAGTTCAGGACTCTCATACACTTGTGGTCTCATCACGACAGGCATATACTAAGGAAGCAGATAGTACTCTGGTTCTTGCTGCAGTCCATTTTCACAACTACTTTCTAGAGGTATTTTTTATGAGAGTCACACTCTACCTTGAGTTACTAAGTGTAGAGACAGAGAAGGTGCAGGTTTCTATACATACGTGGTATGAAGAGGGTTTATAAGGGATGGTGGATAAACTTGGAAAAGCAATCTTAAGAAGGAAATTCTGAACTCACTGTCTTCCATTGATGAGTCAAGATGTTTAAACTTCCTGCAGCACTTCCTCCTCTTTAGAGTTTCTGGCAGTCAAAAAACACCACTCTGCCTTCAGACAGGAACTTTTCATGAATATCATGGCACTGAAATCCACTTTTTATGGACAGACTTACTACGATTTACAAAGTGTCTTCTTAGAGTTGTTGGAGTCTCATTTCTCCATCTGGCCTGGGAAATTTTCATCTTTTTGTCTTTTCATGGAAGGTCATATGGGCTCTGGAGAAAGCCCACAGACAGTCAACACTTCGTAAGGTTTTGTGCTAGTTTGCTGGCCGTTGTGATCAAGTACAGGGAAAAGCAAATGAAGGTGCTATTTAAATACTGCAGCGATGTGTGCACAGAATTCTAATTCAGCAACTGTACAGAACCCAAGACTGAAGTTCGCACCTGAGATGGAAGTGTGCTTTGTCCCGTCTCCCCTGCACCTTCCTTTCCACTCACTTTCCTATGTTGAATAATGCTGAGATGGGAATAGTAACTTATCAGCTATAGCTTTTAATTGAGGCCAAATAGTAATTTGTTTTTTCAGAACATGACAACCACGTGTGTAGGCTTGGGTTACCCTCTCTCCCTCCATAGGAATCTTTGCTCTGTGTAGCAACTATATGAAACTTAAGCCAGTTTGCTCCCGTTCTGACCTTTGTAGGACTCCTCTCCTGTGTTTTATTGCTCTCATCACCTGACATCTCCGCTCTTCATGCTTTGCCAAATCTCCACATTCTGCAGAGGTTTTACCATTTAGCATTGCTCTCTCTAATAGTTCCTGGATCACCTGCTCTAGTCAACACATCCATTTGCTGCTTCTGTGAATCTTAGAAAACAGGAAAGAGAAACACATTGCCCCAAACTTGATCCTCTTGTCTCTTCCTAGACAGTATTTTCATCTGAAATTTCTTCTTTCCTTTTTTCCTTTCCTCCACCCCCTTTTCTCCCTCTTCCCTACTGTCCCACCTCTAATAGATTTCTTAAATATCTCCAGCCAGCCATCAATATTTTGCATATCAGTGACACTGGCTTCTGTTGAAGTTGGAATTTCCTATCATGTGCTCCTCTCTTGCTTACAGTTCCCCAAGGGCTCCTTATGGATGTATTCTCCCACATTTCTTTCAATTGCCCTGTCTTTAGAAACTGTCTCCCAGCTTCCAGTCACTGCTCACCATTTCTACTTCTGGCTCTTAAATAAATTGTTCTTGTCTTAGTGCTTTATTCTATCTGTGAAGCAGGGTTAGACATGTGATAACTCAATGAAGAGTCTGCTGTCAGGGCCTATGCTTCTAATCCTAGTACCCAAGAGGCTGAAGCGGGAGGCTCAGAGTTGGAAGAAAGCCTGGGCTACAAAGTGGAGAGAAGTTCCCTAAACCCTAAACAAAATTCTTAATGAACAAACACATATAAGTGACTTAGTACATGAGTATAAAGTGGATCGATATGACTAAACTCATGAACTTTATAAGATGCAGGCAGACTTCAGCTGCCTTGAAGAAAATGGAAGAACAAATTTACTGTGTTAAAAGTTCGTTCTCAGGCCAAATGAAGTAACTTAGGGCTTATAATTATTTATGACCAGCTAGTTACAGTTCCCTTTTGTTGATTAGAGAATCACTACAAAGGTTTTGAAATTGGAAGTGATAATGAACTTGACTTAAGTGCCTGTGTTAGAAAGGAGGGATGGAATAGAAGTGTAGGCACCACACCCTCACTCTGTTGCCTTAGCTGCTTTTTTAATCTCAACAAAATGCTTTTAGGGAATTTTGAAGTTTAAAAATTTCAGATTGATTCTTCTTGTTAAGTATTAGGAAATTAGAATAATGAAAACACGCTATTACAAAACTGGAAAGTCATGTAAATGTTGTATCACCTTGTCTAGGTGTATATAAGAGTCTGAGGTGTCTAGGTCCAATTATTCAGGTTGGAAGTTTGAGCAATACACAGGGACTGTGTTGCTGACATAATACAATAAAATGTAGTGTCCTGCGACTGACCACGAGACCACGTGGCAGTAGATGCTTTCAGCTGCTTCCCAGCTTATTATTTAGAGCATGGACTGAGCAGTTGTACTGAGAACTCCTGATGCCATGATCAGCAGAGGATTTGTGGCTGGGATAGAGTTTAAGGGCTGGAATTTAGTGGAGTTACAATTTTGAATAAAAGCAGGCTCAGTTCCTTAAAGCTGTTGGAACTGGGTGGGTCCTGATAAAGTAAGTGCTGGAGGAGGAGACCTCCTGAACCTGTTCAGAAGCCAGGGCCAAAGGCTTCCCAGGCCTGCTTCACTTATTGGCCTCTTTGAGCTCGCTTTGAAGAATTGGGAGGAAGTCACGGTCCTACTGTTTGCTCAAAGCAGGACTGTGTTGAAAGTGAAGGGGTTCAGTCATTTTTGTGACCCTGATGTCATTTCCTTTAACAGAAAGGAATGTGCCTGGAAAATGGTTTTAAAACCTTACAGTTGGAGCAATGAAGGTGACACAAAAGAGGATAAATGAAACTGCAAGTGGTAGTTGATGCCTGTAATTCCAGCACGTGGGAGGCTGAGGGAGGTGGAAAGCAAGTCTGAGTTACACAGTGAGTTCTAGGCTAGCCTGGACTGTGAAGTGAGACTGTCTTAAACATAAGAAGGGCAGCGGGGACTTGGATTTCAGTACAAATTCTGTGTCACAGTCTAACCTTTACTGGCATGTTGAGGACTTCCTACTGCCTTAGTGGGGTTAAGAGTCTCTGTAGCACTCAGAAAATCTGTGCAATAAAAGTAAACATTCCCACATACCGGAGGAACCCCCTCCTGTTAAATGTTACTATGCTTCATTGCGTTAGAATAATGTTAAACTGGTGGGGGTCGCATGATTTATGAAGTTTCTGTGCTTTGATGTTATTGAAGTTCACAACAATGTATAATATTTTATTGTCCCAGGAAATATATACTGTTTTGTGGCATGTGTATATTTATTGTGAATCTGAACATGAGCTATTGTTTTTGCTTTTGAATCATATTTATCAGGGGCTAGCATAAATAGGCCTGAAACATCAACTCCACTTAGCTTCTTTTCTATAAAATTTATCTGTGTTTTAAACATTCATTCAATAAGTAACTAATCTGTATTATTGCTGAGGCCTGTTAAACTTGACGTGTTACAAAAATAAGTAAGATATGGTCTTATGCTGAGCACCCATCACTTGCCAAAATACTTCTTGTACATTTGAAATGACAGTTAAATCCCAATGATTACAGTTGGTAAAAATCAAACTACTGTTTGCAGCAAAATATCAGATGTCATTAACTAATAATCTGCTGAAATGAAATCTAAACATCTGTTTCTCCTCACTTTGGCTCCTGATCACAAGCTGGGCATCTTTTCTGTGAAGCTGGGTCATCCCATGGTGACAATTCCTGAACATGACACTCTTGACTCTAAAGAGGTAATGTAAGATAGGTGCAGAGATCTATATCTGTAGAAGTAAGACATTCTTATTTCTTTCAATATTAACAAAATCACAACATTTTAGTTTTGAGATTATATATAATTGTAATGTTTATCCCTTCCCCTTTCTCCCTCGAAACCATCTCTCATACCCCTCTTTGCTATTTTTAAATTCATGGCCTCTTTCTTCATTAATTGTTATTACATGCATGTATATGTAATATATATATATATACACACACACATATTCCCAAATACGACCTGCACAGTTTGTATAATGTTGCTTGTATGTATGTTTTCAGGCTGATCATTTAGTATTAGATAACCACTTTGTGTGCTTTTCCCTGGGGAAGATTATTTCTCCCCCACTTAGGTTTCCTTAGTTGTCTATAGTTCTTCATGTGGGATTGAGGCCTTGTGGCCATTTCCTCTTCCTCTTTTCTGGGTCTATTGGTGTCCTTGTTCAGCTCTTGCTTAGAGAATTATGTTGGTGAGACATTATAGGTGTAGCTTCTGACATTCCTAGGAGACACAATCTTACAGCAAGCTCCCCGATCTTCTGTCTCACAATCTTTTTGTTCCTTCTTCAGTAATGTTCCCTGGGCCTTAGGTATGGTCATGTTTTGTACATGAATACATTAGAACTGATTTCTCAACTCTGCATTTTGATTGGTTGTAGTTTTCTGCAACTCTCTTGATCTGGCTTAGTGAGGTCATGTTGTAGGTTCTCTTCCAATATCCATGACTTCGCTCGTCTTGGTTCATTGGCTAGGTTTCCAGTACCAGGCATAATTTCCTTCTTGTTGATTGGGTTTTTTAGTCCCATTAGAGAGTTGTTCATTATTGGCAAGGTATGCGTGCCACTACTGAACTCTTAGGGTTATTGTGCCATGCTGGTCATTGTTACAGTTAATAGATGTGATAGCTAGGTAGAACTGTTGGCTGCTTCCCTCCTTTGGAAGTTTGTATAGGGTCTTCTGGCACTATGAAAGCTAGTAATCAGGGGGGACATACACACATCAGCTCCAGCTCATGGACATTTTGGCTCTGTTTCTGAATTTCATGGCATCTTCAGCAACAGGGACTTATCTTCTGCCACGAGGAGCAACCAAGAGTGATAGCTATAAACTGTGTGTTTTGGGAGTCCCTCAGAAGGTCTTGGCAAACAACTCAAAAGAGAGCTTTTTATGTTTGTATTGAGGCTTTTGGTAGGTGGACTTTGGCTCTTAGAGGCAACATTGTTTTGACTTTTTTAAAGAGAGATGATGACTCCCGGCTGACTGTGTGGTTCCGAAGTACCTGATTGCTTGTAGAAGGACTACTGGAATTCCATCTATACACATCACAGGGACAAACCAACTCCCTCTTCCTCAGCCGTCAGTCTTTGGCATTTTTATGTTCAAGTGTAAAACTATTGCTTATTGTCGAGCGTGGGTGGGTGGCCTATGAACATGGGACGTGTTTTAGTCAGGTAGCTGTGCTAGCTGGCTCTCAGGTACTGGGACAGAGGATAGCTCTGTTCCCTGACCCCTTCTCCAACTCCACAAATGAGTTCTATATGGTGGCAAGTGTCTATAGAAAAAATATGAACAAGTTCAGCCATACCATCCCAATTTCATGCAATAATTTTTTTGTCATGTTCATATTTAAGCTGATAAACAGAGGCTAAATTTTAAACCCCTCCTTTTATTTTTACAGATGCCATACTATACAAAGAAAACAACTGAGCAAAAATTTCTATGTGTGGTTTAATTTGTGTTTCTCAAGAGAAGTATGTTGATTTTTTTGTACATCATTTCAGATAAAGTGGAAAATCTGAGAAAATGTAAACTTTACATTTAATCACTCTGTGTGTGTGTGTGTGTGTGTGTGTGTGTGTGTGTGTGTGTGTGTGTGTGTTTGTGTGTGTAAGCATGCCACAGTGTGCATGTGGAGGTCAGAGGACAATGATTGGTTCTTTTCTCCCACCTTGTGGGACCCAGAGATTGAGCTCAGCTCGGCAGCAAGCATTGTTTTTACCTATTAAGCTTGAGAATGTGAATTTTAGAGGACTCATCCTTCGAAAGCAATGGGGAGCTTACGCATTCATTTTAAATACCTTTGTTGTAGATACTCTCACAAATGAAGTATAGAAAACAACCCACTGTGAAACAAAGAAGTAAAAATAACAAAATTGGAAATAAAACTCAAAGTTTTCTTTTTAGGAATATTTTTCATGATTATGGATATACTATACATTTATCATAAAGTGACAATTCCTATTTCTACAGTTTAGGGACAAATCTAAAATCTGGATTATTGTTTTATGTTTGAAAGACAGTTCATATACTTTGATGGAGGTTCCTGTGTTTTTATTTTTATTTATTTATTTCCTTTGAGATAGGGTCTCATGTAGTTCAGGCTGGCATTGAACTTTCTTTGTATCCAAAAGTGACCTTGAACTCTAAATCCTCCTGTTTCCCCTGGGATTAGAGGCATGTGTCACTATTCCTGGTGAAAATTTATTTATTTATTGTCAATATTTTCATTATTAATAATAGTCATCATATCATAATCATCCTTATTATTATTATATTTTGAGTGATAATTATAATTGAACCTAGAGCCATATATATATACCAGGCAATTGCTTTACCAGCTCCCTATTTGGGCAAATTTTGATGTTGTTTTTCTACAAAATCTAGGCTTTCTGCAGTGACAATAGTGTAAAATGTGAAGGTGTATATGAGTGGGCCACCTTCACATTAGTGCTTTTAGATACATTTCTGATTGTCTTTAAGGTAATGCACTAAGGATGGGATTTTTGGTTCCTTGATATATGCATATGGAGACATATGTTGCCTCTAACACATACATATACTGCTGTACTAAAAAATAATATAGCTCAGTCTACCACGAGTGTGGTACAATACCTGTCTCCGTGTGCTCTTGCTGGAACTGAAATGACTATACACAACAATTTATGGAGAGCATACTGTATGTGGAAAAGAAAGCCACATACTTTCTTTGTCACTGACTATTCTTTTTTTTTTTTTTTTTTTTTTTTTTTTTTTTTTTTGTTTTTTTTTTTGTTTTTTTTTTTGTTTTTCGAGACAGGGTTTCTCTGTGTAGCTTTGCGCCTTTCCTGGAACTCACTTGGTAGTCCAGGCTGGCCTCGAACTCACAGAGATCCGCCTGCCTCTGCCTCCCGAGTGCTGGGATTAAAGGCGTGCGCCACCACCGCCCGGCTTGTCACTGACTATTCTTAAGCACTTTTACTATTCTTGTTTTACAGTGAGCAAACTTGGGCTGAGGGAAGTTAGTCTATTGGAATAGCTGGGAAGTGTAGGCACAATCCAGTATTAAATCTCTACTGATTGCCTAGCAACTTGGTTTAAGTACCCCCTCACACTCTGTCCAGCATTTAAATTCAGAACCTTAATTTAGATAAAGGTCTTTATCTACATTTTTTTTTCTGTCTGTCTCTAAGTCTCCTCCTGTGCTATCTAGTTCCTTCTTCTCTTAGACACTGTTGTGGAATATTTGCCGATTTCATTCAGAGGAATTTAAAATTGTGTATTGTGCCTATTGTTTTGCATGGACTTACACTCTTCCAATCCACTGGATGCTGACATTGCTACTGAGCAGCAAACGCTCTTTATATAGTCAGGATAATGACCTTGTCACATGTGTCATCCCTCTCAGTATAATGGTGACAAATATAGCTAGAGTTTTCCTGCCTGGCCCACAGTCAGAACAAATCTCTCTCACCTGCCAGTCCCACAGCTGCTCAAACCCGACCAAGTAAACACAGAGACTTATATTGGTTACAAACTGTATGGCCATGGCAGGCTTCTTGTTAACTGTTCTTACAGCTTAAATTAATCCATTTCCATTAATCTATGCCTTGCCACATGGCTCGTGGCTTACCGGCATCTTCACATGCTGTTTGTCATCGTGGCGGCTGGCAGTGTCTCTCTGACTCAGCCTTCCACTTCCCAGCTTTATTCTCCTCCTTGTCCCGCCTACACTTCCTGCCTAGCCAATGGCCAATCAGCGTTTTATTTATTGACTAATTAGCAACACATTTGCCATACAGAACATCCCACAGCAGACAAATGATACAGAAATAAGTATTTACACCAGTGTACATGTACCCAAATAGGAGAATGGTTGAATCAATTTAGTTCTTTCCTGATGAATATTTAAAAAAATGAAATATTATTGCCTGCATTTCAAACCATACAAGTTTTTTTCAAATTCACTTATGCCAACCGACTCTCTGTCAATGTTGCTATAAAATAAGGTTAAATTAGGTGTTTATGTGAACAACCAAAGCATCCAGTTCAGACAGTAATACTGAACTGAGAACTTATCAATTTTAGGTAATATAAAACACTGCTTCTAGTTGCCAAATAACATGGGATAGAGAATTTTATCACATTGTGTGTGGGTGTGCTTATGAAAACTTTTTTTTTCTTTTATTGAAATAGATGTTTTTCATTCAATATAGTCTGTTTATAGTTTCACTTCCCCTCACTTTTCCCAGTTCCTCTCCACGTCCCCTCCCATCCGGATCCACATTCTTTCTGTCTCATTAGAAAACAAACAAGCATAAGGAATAATAATAAAATAAAATAAGATAAATAAAAAACAAGTTGGAATATGACAAAACTATAAAACAAGAAAAAGACTCAAAGAAAAAGCACAAGAAGTGTATATAGATGCAGACACACACGTTTGCACACACAGGAATCCCACAAAAACACAAAACTGGAAGCCATAATAAGGACCTGTAAGGTAGAAGAAAGAAAGGAAGGAAAAAAGAAAGAAAGAAAGAAAGGAAGGAAAGAAGGAGGGAAGGAAGGAATGATAGAAAGAAAGAAAGACCAAATTTCCTTAACATAATGAGACAAAGAACCTCAAAAGATGCTGCTGAGTTCATTTTCTGTTAGCCATTTACTGCTGGGCATGGGGCCTACCCTTAAAGAGTGGTTTGTCCTGGTCCCAGGGGAATCC